ATGAAAATTATAGAAGGCAGAAAACAAAAACGTTAAACATTGTGATTTCAACTGCAGCCATAGCTTAACTGGGTTCTATGCCGATTTGCGCTCCCCAGATCAACCCCGCTGACGGGTGATTGCTGTGGCAAAAAGATCGATAGAAATAGCTGAGAGACGTGCGAAACAAAGGACCCGCATGGTGTGGTGGTGAACGCGTTACTCCCCGGAAAGGACAATAGCGCGTTCGTTCCCCACCATAGACACCTGCGGTCCAGAGTTTTGCAAATATCTCAGCAACGTTGTGGTTGTATTTCGCTTAGTAACCTGCCATGAAAATTATAGAAGGCAGAAAACAAAAACGTTAAACATATATAAATAGTTTCCAAAATCGACTTTCTATTAATCTCGGTATTTGTTTACAAATGCGTCATTTTCTTCTTCAGCAATCGCGAGATTGTTGTACACCGAACATATACTTCCGTACAAGAAACACTAACAACAACGAAAAGCTAGACAAATCACCCCACTAGCAACGAATAGGATACAAAAGCATAGCGGAGGCGATTTTGGGATAACAGTTACTTTCCCGCACAAGGTGCCCAAACACAAGCGCGCAAAGTTCTTGAGGCTTTTTCGATAAATGCAACGAGTCTTACACTGAATCTCAGAGAGGAATGCGCATAGATCACACGTGATTGCGCCCCGTACCTTCGCATCGATTGTGGATGTGAAGTGGTGCACTCATCGACCATGTGCGACTTTAGTCACCTGTTCTTCCTCAGTGGAAGGAAAATAAAAAAGGTGGGCTTTTCGAGAAGCTGTTGATCATATGATTGCCATTCAGATCTCTATCCATCTGTTTGTGTTACTGAAGCGTTTGGCGTAGTAAATTGCATATCAGCGTACCATTCCGGGCTCTAAAGAGAAGCGTCGGCTAGTGTTGTGTTGTGTTTTTGTACGGAAGTAAACGTACGCTGTTTGACAACCTGGTGATTGCTGAGAAAAGCGACGCAACTGTATACATTTATTAATAACTCGATGGAGCGACTTCCCACAAACCTCGGCACAAATAATCGATATTTTTACTTGTAGCCCTTATAAACTGATCTTTTTGAGCTGATGAGAGGTTGCTCTAAGTTGCCTTTGTTGTTGTTGTCGTCATTGTCGTTGTTGTTATCGGTTGATGGCTGAAGTATCGGAATTTCGCCTTCGTCAGAGCCTTATCGTTACGAGTGGACGAGTATATATATGTATTGTTGCCTCATTGATATCATCACCATCAACATCATCACGAATAATCCTGGATAATCCAAGATAAAGGGGAAGATAGCGCAATAGTAGCTATGCCAATCATCACGAGCATGGTATTCGTTGAATTTCGTCCCAGACTTACCAAGCCTGTCATCCTCCGAGGTAAGGAAATTAGTACCGGACTTGTCCAGGAAAAAATCACTTTCTGCGACCCAATGCTCCATCCAGGCTATCTCAGCAGTTCAGCGAGAATCGATTCGACCAGCATTCTATGATATTCAAGGTGAAATGAAAATCGTCAAGCAGCGGCCGAATCCATATGTAAAGGCTGGAAGACCTTCGTGGATTATGGATGCGAAGAAACGAATCGATTGTGAGAAGTGCTGCGATCCTCACAGTAGACGTGAACACGAGTTATGTGAGATAAAAAGTCCTAGACAGGGTTGTTAGCACTTATTTTGCTTTTCATTAGGCTTAATGAGCATTCCACAATTTTAATAAAAATCTATAGCAGAGACTTTGATCGGTTAGAACTATTCATTGAATAGCGCTATATAACAATACCGTCCAACATAAGGCGTTGAGGCGGGCAAAGTTACCGAGAAGTTAGCCATTGAAAATCGAAGAACACGATGGAGTCAGTTCGTCGACGACAGTTCGCAAGAACAATATATGCTTTTACTAATGCAAAAGTTATTGGAAAGTGAATTTTTAGGAGGCACTTAGCATTTTAATCATGCTGTTCCTCTAAGGTTTGTTCCACTGCTTAGTGAAGAATTTCATGGGATAAATAGTTTTCATTGCTTATTATTCAAACAAAATGCCAATTAAATAACCACCTCAAGTCAAAAAATAAAAAAAAATGTAGCCTATCTATTTGGACGAATGGTCACCAGTCTTTTTCCCTTTGATTTATTCGAGTACTTCAGCGTTCATTTAAAACGCTTTAGACATTTTGCTAGATGATCTCTCCATGGTTTCTTTGCCTATAAGCTTTGATTCATGACTATAGTGCTTCTATGTCTAGTGACTTACCCGAAGGTCTGCTGATTCCACTTTTCAATCCAGGTGTTCTTCCTTACCTTCCTTATTAGATTCCATAAAAACGAAGTCATTCACATCATGCATGAACCCATATCGACATGGTCGTTAGAGTATATTATGTTGTTCAAAAAATAATGTTAGTTTTTGCAAAACTCCTGACCGTAAGTGTCTGCGGTGGGGAACGAACGCGCTGTTACCCTTTCCGGTGGACTAACGCGTTCACCAGCACATCATGTGGGTCATTCGTTTCGCTTGTCTCTGAGCTAGTTCTATCGATCAGTGCCATCAGCAATCACCGTCAACAGGATTGATCTAGGAAGTCCAAATCGGCAATGAACCCAGTTAAGCTGAGGCTGTTGACCTGGACCCGCAGTCCGGAGTTTTGCAAATATCTCAGCGTTATTGTGGTTGTATCACACATAATAATCCGAATTATTTTCGACACTACGCAAGCAATCTTTTCCTCGGCTTTCTGGCTGTGTACGTAGACATTCGACCTGACAGCGTTTCATGCAGTCGTTTCTTTCTTAATTTTATGTATATGACGGCTGGATAGTGCAATGTACACGAACGTTTTTATTGTAAAACGAAGTACCACTTTTCAATGTAGCTGCTGCATCCTAAAATCGATTCTATCTTCCTTGCCGTTGTTCTCTAACTCTCTAAAGTCTTTGACTTAGACTAAATTTTAATACATTCTACACACCACGATAGACCTAGGCCAAGTTTTTGCAGTCACCTTTCTATACGTAAAGTGCGAAGCCCCTGTGTCCTCCATACACGCAAAACCTAATGGATAGAATTAGCGCGCGACAGGAACGAATAGATTCGTTAATGGCTCATATTTAAGTTACTCGATGACTGAGTGGATCGTAAGTGACACCAGCGACAGATTAATATCTACACAATAACGTCGATCGACGAAAACTGTATACTGACATTTGAAGTAATTTTAGGGACCATTGCTATTCATTTCTTCCTATCAATATTTTAGCAGGTTCGTCTGTCGCCTATTTTGAAATGGGATCCAGACCTTATCTTTCCAAAAAATGCCGTATGCTCTCTCGTTGCTGTTAGTACCGAAGATATGGCTGATAAAATTTTTACTTTGAAAAGATCGTAATGCAGCAGCAGAAACAGAACGCGAACGGTTAATTTAAGATACAGCAGTATCTAGTTCATCTAAGCTTCCAAATACCTATGCAAGACGGTGTACCACCAAGTGCAAGGTATACATGAGCATTTTGCCAAGTTGCAGACATGATCTCTTGCCCTGTACTTACCAAGCTTATTATTTTCAAAGGATGTGTCCTAACTTAGTGTACAATTTAGCACAGTTACAGTGGAACACTATCAGTTCTAAACAACTACTTAGGTGAGTAAAATACTTTTGATGCGGTGAGATAAAGTGGTTTCTTCCTTTTCTCAGCACGGTAAGAAGTACTAAAAGCATCTAGGTCTACATATAGCGCTATTGCTTTGGTGATTATTACTTATAGATATCACACCTACTGAATTTCCACCCCTAGAAAAGCTATGCAGTGCCAATGATTTCAACATTGAATTCATGGAATTCTTCTGAGAATTGCGTGGACAGCACCGGTTTCTAGTGACATGATTCGGTGAACAGTATGTAGCACAAGAGATAGGATCTTGAGAGCAAGATGCAGGTTAGATAGGTCGTAGATGACAACCATCATAAGAAGGACCCACAGATGAGACCGATAACCGCTGGTTGAGCATGAAAGAAGTAGCAGAATCAAAAATCTGTTAGGGGAAAAGTTTCCAAATGGATCCATACCCTCAAGAAATTCTTAGTGAAATATTAACTTCTGATTCCACGTTGGCACCAAATTTTATCTTTCCACTAAAAACATGGGATTTAGTTGAAAAACCTGGGTAGAAAGTTATTTACTAGGACGAATTGAAGACTAATGTATAGAAATGAGATGATCTTTTTCGCTTTAGAGAATGTCAGATGCAAATATGCTCGTCTTCCACATTTTACTACTTCGGAAATACTGTCACCTTAAAGACATAGGTCTTTGGAGTGATTGCATGTCGAACGAATAGAAAATCCAAACTCCGCTGTTTCTGTTCCTAAAATAGTACTGTGATAGTTACATGAAATGTCTCTTCTCTAACAAGGAACCTTTCAGTCTTCTTCAACACCATTCGTGAAAAACGCATATTGTCCCTGCCATAAGAACAAATGCACTTCGTGTTTTATTGTCTTTCGTCTAGTTTCCCGAAACGTCCCTTCAGAACACTGTAGCCACCCAGCAGTGTCGTTGCGCGAAATTTCTTCGACCATCTCTGACTCCGCCTACATCCATCCCTGTTCCGATGTATGGCATCCAGAGGAGTGGAACTCAGTATCTATCAAACCATTAACGTTCGTTCCATCGCCGGTAAGACATTCGCTGTCAGGTTAGCTTCGTATACGTGCTATACTAACTCTTCCAGCTTCTATTTCTTCAACCTAAAGAAATATTGCAGCTAGAAATACTCTATCTAACACTTCTTGACGCTCTTGAACTTGTATGCGCGTCTCGATTTTAGATTTTATATAATGTATCGCACTATTTCAACTAGATGGTGTGCATTATGAATCCAATTTCTAAAAAACAGTTGGACTTTGACTAGATTGTAATTCATTTCTTTCTCGATCGGAACTCTTCATAAAATTTTGTCATCAGTGATCGATTCTGACTAATTCAGCGATGCTGGCATCCGTCTCAAACCCACGTGAAGTTTTTCGAAGTGACGAGTTTCTCGTGCAGCTTGCTCAACCGACGAACGTCCGCTTTTCATTATACGAGCATGCTCCGCTGACTGAACGGCAGGAGAAATTCCAAGAAGCTATCGCTCAACGAAAACTTGCCTTGGTTGGTCTGTTATAGACACGTTTTATGGTTTTCTTTCAGTAGCGATTGTTATAATTGACAAAAAATGGTGATTATCTCTACGTACGGAATCACTAACAAGAATTGGAAAATTATAAGAAATGTTCCGAGTTGAAATGACATCGATTGGTAAAAAATAAGTAAATGAGGCGCTCAATTAAACCTCACAATGCAGAGGGTTTCTGCTTTCCTTTATTATTAGTTTAAGAATTTCACGTTATGGCGATGATAGGTTATGTACCTGCCTCAAATCCGACCGCCAAGATAGCATCTACACCATAACTCTCCCGCCGAAAATGTTCAATTACAGTCGACCTTAAATAGTAAGCAAAGAGATAAGTGCTAAAATTTTCTGGTTTTTCAACACAAAAGATAGGGTTCACCATATTTGCGTTTTTTTATCATATTCAAGACAAATGCATGCCCATTTTAATGCACAGGTGATGCACCATTTCGCGCAATATGCATTGACTTAAGTGCAACTTCTTTACGCTCGTTAAGCCCTGCGAACTGATTTACAACACCTTTTTAGTTTTTCAAAAACTTACATCGATAACCTAAAAATCAAAGGTGATGTAGTTTGTGAAAAAAAAGCTGTCTTTTTCACGTCACAGTTTAGAAAAAGCAGTTACTGGAACGAGTTTGCTGGCCTCCTAGCACAGCGGTAAGAGGTTCCATACAATGCACACGCGATCGTTCGCTCGATCCTGCTCCCCGTATTCACCAAGCTTTCCATTACTCCGGAGTCGGCAAATTGGTACTAGAATTGTTTGAGGGAATGACAGCAATTACTTGAGTCATCGGTAGTTCACCGCAAGTCATTATATAGGGTAGATATGCATTGAATCAGCAGATATGCATTCCCTCTCAACGGTTTACTGTCTCATCGTGGCTGGGAGGTGTTCCTGGGTGTCGGACTACGATGTACAGCCGGCGATTCGTTTCCTGGAAGGGTCTCCCAAGCTGAAAAAGAGTCCGGCGTTTCATTAGTAAGCCTAGCTAAGAGTAAACCAATACCAGGATCCACCACTGTTTTGGTATCAAAGTCGTATGGTGGTAAATCTTCCTCTGATCCACAAGGGCTGCGACTGCCTGTCGTAGTGACGACATGGGGCAGACTTTGGCCAGGCTGTTCTCGGGATTCCAGGGAACCACAATGGCTTAACTAGTAAAATTCTGTAAAATGGTGATTATGCTGGGGCTCGCACAACTAGTGATGACGGGCCGTTCAAGTATCAAGTAAGTAATATATGCATTCAATCATCTCAGACTCTGCTGTAGTCGAATGCGCTCCACACACCTCAGGAGTGATAATGCCATACGCGTTCTATGCCTTTTCTTGAGAACAACTATGCATTTAATTCAATATCGGAGTACAGGTGTTTCACCCCACTCGAACAAGTGTGACACTAATCACAGAGAAATAGAACGCTTAGGCAAAAGCGTGCATCAATTCGATAACTATATTCTTGAGTGTGACGCTTCATTACCGAGAATTGGAAGCCAATATCTTGAGAAAATGGCAGCGTGCAATGCAGTGGTTAGTGATGTCTTGCAGTACAAGCGTAGTCGACAGTACAATCCTGTGCCTCAGGAAATCTAAGCCTCCTAAATCGGCAAATTGGTACCAACTTGTCCAGGAAGTAAATGCATTGATATGGTACATCTTCAGGTGACATCAACTCATCGTACAGAGTAGAAACACATTAAACTAGCTTTACGATGTTACGAATAGAGTCGAATGTATGACGCATCCCAGAGGAACTGATCAAGCCCGAATGCTTTATCGTCATATTGAAACAAGATGTCAAAATCAAATCTCTGGTTTTCGTTCTTTATAAATCCCTGTTCGTAAGATGAAATAAAGCTGCTGAATCTCCCTTTTCTTTTGCGAATTGGTGTTCTTTAAACTCTTTAAAGGTTTCATCGGAAGGTAACTGGTGAAATAAATCAAATACCATTTTGCTATGTATTCAAGGCTTCTTTTGCTTTTTCAGAACAACTCACTCCAATATTTTTTGAGAAACATCCCGATGTTTTCTACGTGGAAAACATTTGGAAGGCGCACCTATGTTTGTCACAAAATCAAAACAAACGAAAAAAATTTTAAAAGGAAGTTCATGTGGTGGGGAAAGGCAGAATTCTGTTCTCGGAAAACCTAAGAAAACCACTTATCACTAAATATCTAATGCGCTGTACAGAGAAGTAAAAGGATGAAGGATAAACCTCTCGGTGCTGATCAATCCCTGAGGCTGCGCCATGCACTCGACCTCATTAAGTATCCTTTGGAGGTGATTGAATGCATATCTGGCCTTTACAATGACTCGCAGTGGCCTATCGATGCATCGATCCAGTGCTGCTATCCTCTCAGACAACTCTGATACCAATTCGCCGATCCCGGAAAGGCGGAAGGCTTGGTGGGCCTTGGACGCTAGATCGATTCCATATGTATGTTGAAAGGTGCCTCCGGCCAGTGTGACACACGAGCCCTATACAAAGTAGTAGTACTTGAAATTTGAAAACATGCGAGAAATTCACATTTGCCAACATCTACCTAAATGTTCGGCTTTCTAGACATTCATCGAAACAGGCGTCAATCTATCGCTCGATGTCTCAACTACAACAACTTCAGGTACTAAGGTAGGTATAACTGAAACAATTTCGTTCTTTATGAGCACAGAAACAATTTATTCTCATGGAATCAGAATTAGTGCGGAACTTCGACAAAGATCATCACTGAAAGTGCGGCCCATACCAAGTCGTTTAGATTGACTTTGAGTCATTTCCGTTCCTCTTCAATGGAGTCTTATGCACAGCACGAGGTCGTATAGACTCGCACTTGCTTACAGGGCGTGTTCAATTCCGGTTTTGTGAAGGTAACATTACTTGATGACATGTATCGCCTACTAGAGACGCAGATGTTGGCAACACTTTCTGCCAACTAAACTTTGGTTGGACTGTTTCGAATTTAGACTACTCATGTTTCTTCAGATTCCAGTACCTCGACGGATGATGCGGAATTCTGGACACCGGATCAAATGAACAGTCTTCGAGCAATGGGACTTCCATTATAGGATCCAGTGTCAATTGAGATGACGGTTGAGTGGAGGCGTAGACAATTCGGGAGATTTCCATAGCCTTCATATCTTCCTTTATGTTCATTCAAAGACAATACGCAGGTTGTAGTGATTGTTGCCAAGATTCTCCGAAAGGCCTTGTATTAACCATGATACTTGAATCGCTACCAACTATGCTTGTCGTTTTAGATATCTGTGATCCAGTACTAATATGCCTTTCAGTCTCCAATGTCTTCTTTGTCGAGACATGCTGAAGACTTCATTATGCGGGAATCATTAACTCAAGGCTTATAACTGTTTTCAATTGACCTCATCTTACATGAGACTCAGAAAAATTTGCGAAATCTATGAAAGAAAGTCGTAATATGAATGGATTCAGTGTGTGGCATTGAGGGAAATCTCTATTCGTGTTATAATCATTTTGAGTTCTGTCTTGTTTCTGTTCTAATTCGGTTCTCAAAGCTCAATCTGTTTCAAATCCGGTTTTCAGTGCGTCTCCTAAAATTCGCGTATTGTCGCGAATTCGGACTTGATTTCTTCACGTTTCTAAAGATCTTATCGCTATATGAACACTTTTCACAACACCACTTCCACATCGAGTAGACGTCTATCAAATAATATACCTAAAAAATTTCTATTATTTAGATAGCTTAAGCTGTTACACATGCCAACAGCAAGGACACTGTAGCATAAACTACAGGGAAATAGGACATGGATGAAAGGGTTCCATTCAGATGTCCACGGAGATGTGAAATAGTCAAGTGGTCACCACTATGTGGTCAACTAGCGAGCAATAAATTGCTCTTATAACGTAATACTTTGACCTGGTGTTTCACATAATGTTGGTATTAACCACTGTCTGGTTTTCAATCCATAGGAATCTAAGATGTTTGCGTAGTTGGCGAATAGTAACATATGAAGACCTTTTCATGTATTAAACTCCTACCACAACCGGAAAGTCAATGTCTTTATATGGAACAAACAACTTTAGCGTAACTTTGACATAAAAGCAGTTGCACGTAGTATAATATGGGGTCCAAGCCCTAGCACTTGATTCGTCCTCGTTTCGTTGTTTTCCAATGTCATCCGCAAAGGTGGTCGTGTTAACGTGGAGGTTCGGTTGTCGCTCCGTCTTCTCTACTCACTGGGATGTTAAATGCTGGTCAAATGTGGTTTTTCATGATAGCCATGCTATATGTTTTCTTAGTAAAGCGTTCTTAAGTCTTCAACAAAAGCAGTAACCCTTAGAATTAGGGAGACGTTCACTGCCTTGTGGATTGAATTCTTCCAGGACCCAGCAAGGGCGATTGACGACGAATTTGTAACACGACAAATTCCGAGGTACCAGCACCATTTCGAAATTACAAAGAACCGACTAAAATCTCATGGCTTTTATTGGAAGAGAAAACAAAGTAGTACTGATTATGTTAACAAAATAGTTATTTTGGTTATGAAAATGTTTGGCCGGGTGGATTTCAGTCAACTCAACGTTTCCACGCCCTGAAGGAGGCAGAATCCGCTGAAACGTCATCTTGTTCATAAGCAAGAAATAAAATAATAAGCTCATTTGCTCATCAAGAGAGAGTCAATTACAAAATAGTGCATTTGAAGAAGCATTTTTGGTAAAACCCTAAAAGAGAGCCACTAGGCTGATTAGGTAACCAAATCGATCATTGATCATCGATCACCTATTGAAAGTGGTAGAGAGACTAGTGTGAGCCATGTGTTTCTCCGTAAGCCTAAATATAGCCGATGGGATGTATTCGGGAAAGCTGTCTGAATATTAAAGAATAGAGTGAAAATAACGGAAAAACCATAACGTGTGCTAAGCTCGAAGATAATATTTCACCACATACGCATCGTTGTAACTTTTCCAGATATAGAAGTACCTGGAAACTTTCAGTAGAGGAGTAGAACTTAAATTAGTGAAATTCAAAAGACAGACTTTCTATAAACGTCGGCATAAATAACCGATATATAATATTTATTTGTTTTTATGAACTGATCTTGTTGAGCTGATGCAAGACTGGTACAAGTTGACGTTGTTGTTGGCGTTGTTGTTGGCGTTGATGTTGACGTTGTTGTTGACGTTGTTATCAGTTGCTGTTGGCGTTGTTGCTGCCGTTGTTG